GTTAGATTTTCGTGAATGGCTGGGTGTGTTAACTGTCTCTTACGGCGCCATACCTTAACCTCAGCATCACGTATGTGAGCAGTGTTAAGTTCCAAAGTTAAACTTAAATAATTGCCCATCGTTTTCTTTCTCAAACAACGTAAATTTTGGTGATTTCACTATGTTGTTTGGCAGAAGAAGGCCAAGAAATATCTGCCAATTAGATATTTCGTTTTGTTTCGTCCTCATTGCCGTTGTGTAGTGGTTTGCGTAACGTTCCTAATGACGTTTTGACAACCTCAGCAGAAGTCATCATCGGAGGTTGCGGATGACTTCCGCAAAGGTTTTCACTGATTCCAACTGCAGTCCTTCGTCTGCAACTCTTCAACCAGTTTTTGAATTAAGAGATTTCAATGCTAATTAAGTCTTTCTTCTAAAGCCTTGGCTTTGAGCTTCAAAACCCAATTTCCACCCCCCCTCCCCACCCCCAGGGTACTACCAACGGCTCCTCCATGGATGTGATCCACTGCTTTGTCCGGAGGTTGGTGGAGGAGGGGCTGGAAGAGCAGAGAGCTTCAGATCACTCTCCAGTAACAGTCTTTTTGCACCCTGAACCCTCTCTGAATTTTTGGATCCACCCATGAGTGGTATTTTTAATATAAAAAATAATGATCCGATTTACTTACCTGTTCCAGCTGTGGTTGGAACTGTGGAACAAATCACACATCCTTCATCAGCATTTAATACTGAAGCAATGTAAACAATATGAATTAAAGATAATAATTATTAAAGTAAAGGTTTGCTTTTCAAAAAATGAATGATAACCCATAAAAGAAACTTGTTAACTTGATGTGTATAAAAAATTAAAAATATATAAATAAAAATAGCATTTAACACTGATGTGGCTCATCATATTTGGCTGAAAACTGTTTTTTAAAGAGGGTTGAAGTCTGAATTTGGAGGAGATTTGAGCCCACAAAGTTTGAGTATGCAAGCCAACGAAATGGGCTTTTTCAAATTTTGTTTTCAGGCTAAGCAATAGCAAAGTACAAGTTGCTTGTTCTGCAGGTTAAAGTTACAAATTTTTGATGCACAGGAACAGAATTTTTAAATCCAATCAGATATATAAAAATAAAACCAAAAAAAAATTAAAACTACATTGCTATTTACCCCACTCACTTGCTATAAGAGGCTTTAAAGGCTTGTCAATTGGCATTCCTTTACCGACAGGTGCATTCACGAAATCCAAGAATTCATTTTCTGGATGACAAAGATAAAGATTGGCTGCTTTGGCTGTGTCAATCACAGAGCCACCACCAATGGCCAGAAAAGAATCAAATTCACCCTGCTTGGCAAAGTCAATGGCAGCCTTAAAACTGGTAAAAAAAAAAA